ATTGAAGTGTGGCACCAATTTGTGATATCTTTCTCTTTGGACTGCTGTCCTCATGTCAGACAAGATATTGAATAATACCGTCTGACTGCTCAATTGAGGTGCTGACAGGTTAACGGAAATGGTGTTTTGAATCAGGTATAAAATAAACTCAGACATGCTCACATTGACAGAAGAAGTTTATATAGAGATTCCAGAATTTCAGAAGTTTTAGAAGTCAGAAATGAAGGCTGAAGGAGGTGGAAGACCTTAAGGTAACTGTTAAACTGATGAAACTATTTTTAAGTTAATATTTTTTTTTAAATATTTTAAATTGACCTTTACATTCTGAAGTTTTTGGGCAGAAGCCTGAATTTTTAATTTTATGGTACTGCCAAACTTTAAAAAAAATTTCCAAGTAAACTTTAATTCTAAAATTTAAAATTTTCAAATATTATTCTAAGAATCATTTGTATTTCTCCTGTAATATCATATATTTTTTTATCCTGAAGTTAGAAGTAAATAGTGAATAAACAAATGGGAAATAAATTAGCAAGAAACTGCAACTCTCCTTCAATCTGTGCTATGGATTAGTCTTCCATTATATAGGTCAGAACAACAAACTAATCTATCAAGTGAGAAATTGATTACTGCAGTACTGACAAGGACATCTGACAGCAAAGTGCATTTCTTTAAAAAACAAAACAATACACACATACACACTCTCCCTTTAAAACCAAAATACCTAAGAAACAGGCAAGACTATTCAGAGTGAAAAAGTATAAAATGCTTCTGAAGACAAAGAACTGAGCTCTACAAAAACTGTTTAACACTGCTACTATGAGCCTGTGCTAACTTCTTAGCCGTAGGATTTTAATCTTTCAATGGGAAGCATATAACCACCTTAAAAGGTTTTGGCATTTAAGCACAAATCTGATTAGGGCACCACTGCACTTTCCATAATAGGTCTTTCCTAACCCTGGTACTGCTGAAATTATAAAGCAAAGTCGATCTTGACTTAAAGCTTGAGCCCTTTTGTATTTAACAAGTGAATTCAAAGTATTTGCAAAATCCAGAGGTGTGCCACCTGGTGGGGGGAGGGAAGAAAATAGAAGGTGGGAATGGTAAGAGGAGTAACTTGCTGGAATTTTGGTCAATTCTTATTGTATGCTAAATACTTAACTTTAAACTATCACAAGAGGACATCTGGCATTTTCAAAGGACCATTGGTCTGGGATCCATTGGTCTTGTTTAACTGAGAGAGTGGGATCCGGAAACCTAGAGCTTCACTCACATCAGTGAAAAATATGAAATTAGTGCTATTTTTAAACTGCCTATGGATGAGGAAATGGGTAGAGAATTCAAGGTTACCCAAAGTAACACAAACAGCAGAGTCAAGATGAAAAGAAAGGCCTCAATTCTGCAGTCCAGTCTCTTGAACTATATATTTTTTCCCTACAGATTCCAAGCTGTGCTATCCTGTGGACTCTTTGGAGGGTTTCAAGGAGTCCAGTGCAATTTCCTGAGGATTTTTCCAACCAGAACTGATTAAATCTTAGTATTAAGACACAGAACAATGCAGGACTTGAAATAATCATGCTCATTATTTCTTCCTGTTCCATTCTGCTGCTCCTCCATCTCAGGTGGTTGATCCCTGGCCAGTGAATCAGTCTGATTCCCGGGGCCACTGGATTTCTCAGGCTCTAGTACTGGGCAGCAGCCCAAGGAAGCTGGGCAGTGAGAACAGGAGATAGGTAGGAATTTCCGGCTCCTGGCCACACCCTCCTCCCCAGGCCCTCTGTGTGAACAGGTTGTGCAGCCGCTGTTCCCTGTTCTTCAGCATGGAGGGACTCTCTAAGCACTGCAGAGCCCTGGTGCCACGTGACCCTTCTTGATGTTCTTAACTCTGAAACTTGAACTAAGTCATTTGTTTCCTTATAGACTCAACTGATACAAGAACATGCAGCAAATGGCATAAACTATTCACTTAGTTACTTTAAACAATTAAAAGACAAGTTTGTTCTTTTTATTTATTATATTGGGGATGAGCTCAGCCCCTTGGGCCTGCCAGCCAGGCACTTAGGCCACTGAGCTGCAATCCCAGCCCTCCATTCTTTATTGGAAAGAAAGAAAAACCTTCAGCTTCTAGCATTTACTCCATACCTACTTATTTGAACATTATTATTTTTCTTCTCAAAATATATATACATTCACTTACTTTATAAATGGTAATTTGCTGACAGCCACAAACATACAAAAACACAAAAAACCTTCCAGGCTTGACTTAACAACATTTTTTGCGTTCACAGAGCTAGAGGACTTTATGCTCAAAATTATTGCCAAATTAGGATTGTATCTTTAAAGATTTATTGCTCCTGCAGGTTTGAGGTAGTGTAATTACCTAAAGTGACTTGGATTTGAGTAATGTCACCTACTTACACTGCTTAACAATTTATAACATTTCACAAACAGAATGTTTCTTAGCATGTTTCCAAAGGAAACTATAAGGTAGGACACACCAACTCACTGTAAAATCTCATCTACACACAAAAGCTCACAACTGATGACCCTCTCCGATTCTTTACTCCCTCAATCATCCCATCTGTCTCCCAGACTACGAGGCCCTTGTATTTACTCACCTCTTTCACAGAAGCATATTTATCACCTTTCAGACATTCCACCAACTTTATTTTGACAATCTCTAAGCAACCTCAAATAACCCTGGCTTTGTTGCGTCTACTCAGTCTAGAATCCCAAATGCATTCCCACCCCTAATAGCTACTGCTTCTTTTATGAAAGTCACCAGTAAACTATTACGGCAATCACCTCCCTCTGCTCAAACTCTTAGGTCCATGTCACGCCAATGACTCTTCATTCTTTTTAAGACTCTTCTGTGACACCTGCTAACTTCATTTTTTCCTATATTCCTAAATTGTTCATTCCTTATCATCTTCCTCTGATTACTCTGAGGTCAAAACACTGGTTATTTCTTAAAGTTAGTTTCATACCTTACACTAGTTGGTAATTTCATTTTCTCCTACTAGTTCAACTGCCACTAGTACGTGGGATGGATGTCTACTACTTTCAACTACTAAAGCTTTATCCTTTAGAATGCCATGCTTACAAACTTCTGGTTCTGAAAGCCCACCCAAACCTCAAAGTGAATGGGTACCAAACCAGTCAACATCTCATCTTCAGATCAGTTCTGTTGATTTCCTCCTCCAAGAACCACCAGCTTCTTGCACCCCAAAAGTGAAGCAACAGAGCTACCCCATACCCAATATCCTTCATAGATCAACTCCTCCATTCATCTTCAGGCCAGGACCTCTAGCTATCTCCCTGCTTTTTTCTGCACAGCTGTCTTTATAATCACAAGATCAAACACCTTCTGTCTAGAGCACAGTAAAGCCTCTCTTTGTCCAGGCTAGGAATGACTGACCATATCATTCTCATGCTCTAATCTAACTTCAATATACAACTCTCAAACATATGGCCTCTATCTTCCTCCTGAAAAAATGTTTTTAGTCTGGTTTTCCAAGTCCATTAAATTTAACCCAATTTATCTTCCAAATTGCCTACCATTCAGTGCCGTGGAGCAATCTATTTACCTGCTCAAAATTTTATGCTTTTTAACCACTTACCAGTCTGGTTATTTAAAAACAGAGTAACAAAAATTGTATTTTTTCAAATTTTGTAAGGTAACAGTTGTCTTGGTTACTTTTCGCCCATTGCTGAGACAAAAATACCAAAAATTAGGGAAGGAAAGGTTTATTTTATAGTGCATGGTTCTTGGAGGTTTCAGTCCATAGTCAGTTGGTTCCCAGGCAGGTGGCACATGGCATAGGACAACTGTTCATGGTGGTGGAAAACAGCAAAAGCAACAAGAGCAGAAAGGGAGGACTGCAGAGCAGCCTCTTTCTGTCCCTTATGTAGTACATAGCCTAACCACAGTAGGTTGGGTATAGCACTCACACCCATAATCGCAGCATTGGGCCATGAATCAATCACAAATTCTAGAAGCCTGCCCCGATGACTGCATGTGGCTTTGGGAGTATATCCAAACACAAAATATAACAACAGAAAATATAAAAACCACCACATTACCAAGTTTATGCAATATAAGAACTGACTGCTCAATACACCTGCCAGAACAATGCTCAGGATGATCAGTATCTAAACAAACACACTGTTCCAGTGACTGTGTGATGCTCATGGCAAACCCTTAATGGGTTAAAATGTAATAAATTAAAATGCCACTATTTCAAAGAATTAGGATTAGAAGAGGGCTAAAATAAGAGTGTGAAATGTTTTATATGAAAAGTGTGACTCTGATATAAGTTAGTAAGGTTTGCCTTCTCCCTCTATCCTCACTCCCAAGGGTTACCATTCCTTTTTACTAGAAGCCACTTGAGGGAACCACATTGCATTAACTTTTTCAGTTCTAGTATCAAACACAGTGTCTATGGTAGGGTAGATGCATAAAAAGTAGATGTTAAATAATACTAGTATTTAATAAAATTTGCAAATACTGGGATAATGTTGATGGAGCAAATTAAAGGTAGGTCAATGCAAAGTCAACCAATGAGATATCACATTTCCAAAAGAAACTTTTCCTGCTTAACAAAAATTATTTTTATTTAGATTTGAGAGGATTTAATGAGGATTCACTTTTTAAAACAAGGATTTTCCAATATTTATAACCGTCAGTAAGAACTGAAGTAGGTTTTAAAATTGGTGAATTTATAAGAAAAATCAATTCACCCAGCCACTTTACCCACCATACCAATCAGACACCAGATTTAGGCATCTGACCACAGACTGATTAACATAAAATTCTTTTGGTAAATCCTAAGGGTATTTTCATACATCTTACTCAAATGTCTTGTTCTATAGATGTTACATATTAAAGGAATTTTTTAAATGTTGTTTAATAATCCTCTTTTCAAAGCTCTAAAAAAATAAATTATCTGGAGACTCTAACCAGTAAATACAATGGTTAGCATATTTTAACTATTTATATGCTCTTCCGTTTTTAAAAATTTTTTATTTTAAAAAGCAAAACAGAAAATAGGATAGAAACAATACAGAATTTCAAAAAACAGTAAGAAATTAAATTCAGAAGAGTACACTTCAATTATTTTTTACACATATAAACAAGGCTTACAAAACATGGAGAAACTCAGTGTCTGTCTGTCTTTCAGTAAAGCAAAGAACTCAGGACCAAATCAAATGATATCATAGAGTAAAATACTATCTTTTCTCCTGGGGTTGGGCATGCACATGAAACATCAGATGACAAAACAGAACTAATACAAAAATGTCTACAGGGATTAACAGTAATTTACTTATTAAAATTCTCACAGGATATCTTTGATGAGATCTCAGAGGCAAGACAATTAAAAATTGTGGTCAGTGACACCAAAGACTATGGACAGCCAATTCAGACCCGGCTTCTTTTCCAAAATGAGTAAGAACACACTGTATATATTGTCAGAGGAAGCTCTAACACTGGGGATTTAAGGATGCCTATGAAATAAAGGCATTCTTCATCCAAAATATAATGTTTAATCAGGTTTAACTTACAAATTTCTCCTAGTGAAGCAAAGGAATAATAATTATTACATAGACAGCCAAGCAATTCACAGATTTCTAAACATAACCCTGTGGATCCCAAATTCCATTCCTTTAGAACTAAGCTTCTCAAACTTTTTTCTCTTTAGTACCCCTAATACATGAGAAGAAATCTAACAACAAGCATAACATTTCTTTGACATCTGAAGTTGAACTTAAAAATTCAAGTGAACTTTTGCGTTTTATTCCCTAATATAATCATGTGTCTTTCCATATAAAAGGATTCTTTTGCCATGCAGGGAAGTCGTGTCATATTTAGCCCATTCCTCTGAGTAGACCCCAGCCCACCATCTGTCACATTATCTACTAGTCAACTTTTAAAAAAAAATTAAATCCTTTTCATTCTAAAGCAAAACAGTAGAAGTGAAAAGGAGTGACTAAAACAAGATACCAGCCAGGGCCAGAACTGTATAATCTCTACCTAACTATGAGACCAAGGACAACCCAGCAAATTTGACCTGCCTATGCCTGGGAGGGGAAGGTTTAAGGACAGGGTGGGCAGAGGTGAGTTCTCCCTGAGAGCAAGGCCAGGCATGCTTGGGCTCCTCCGGATAGGTAAAAAATGGCCAGAGGGCCTCAATGCCATGTACTGATACCCTAATCGGGCTGGTTCTTTTTGTCTGGGCTTGAGACAAGTCCACATTCTGGAAGGGAAGCTCTGGTCCCAGGAAGGCCTCAGCTGTTAAAGAACAACCCTGCAGAGGGATTTAGAAAGTGAGCACCCATATTCCCCGCCCAACTACCTCTGCAGAGCCTGAGAAGGAAAATCTAAATCAGCCACATTTCTCAGGGCCTCTGCCTTGATCAACACAAGCCACAATCTCTTAGGCAAATTTCCTTTTTGAAGGAGAGTTGCTGGGGTGACTGGGAGATTTCCACCCCTAAACACTCTGGGCTGAGAAGCCAGCCTTAAAACATTCTTAGTAATTAAGGATTTGTTTCAGCAGAGCTATAGAAATCTGTTTCTTCTGGAAAAGAATATACTGTTTAACTTAAAAACCTTCTAACCCCCCAGCAAACACATGAATAATTACCCTACCAAATATCATTATACATTATATTATATAGCTCTGTTTTTTCTAAAAGTTTCCTCATGAAAAGAAAAATAATATTGTTTAGTAACAGCTAAAGCACAGAGTCCCATTAATGAAGACTGTAGCTTCGGGGGATTTTAGTGTCTGCAAGTTTCTTATGTCACAAAATTTCCCCCACTGTCCTGTTCCTATAGGTTGTATAATTAAAATTACTTTTCACTGCAAAGAAACGCAGCCTTACTGATACTATTCCTGGAGTCTATGTGTCTCTTCTTACCAAGTATACAACAGCAGAGTTGCTGTTCTGAGTTGTAAAACAATAGTCTTCCATCACAGCATTCACAGGCTACAAATTCTTCATACTTTTATGGAATTAGGTCCAAATCAACCATTCTGGCATGCTAAATTCACAGTAATAAGGTCCCATCTCCAGTATTACCTCCAACCTTTAACAGTTTTAGACAGGTTAGATCTAGGAGAGTCCCCCTAAGCACTCACTGTTCTAGTTTTAAAGACACAAACTTTGTCTTATACATCCTTTGTATCACAGTACCAACAGCATTCGTATTTGAGAAAGGAGGGCAATGCAAAATCTTACAGCTAAGGCCAAAAACGTCAACTCCTTACTATCAAGTTGGAAAACAAACACCTTTATTTTAGAATGTGACTCTACATATACCATCTATAATCTAAAGATAGCGGGTCTGTAGAGGTGGCAATGTAAGATCCTACTGCAAGTGTAAGGACATCATTCCATAAAGCAACTTGATAACAATCCAAGAATACCTAATGTTCAAAATTTGAGGACTTTTTTTAACATCAGTATGACAGAACATTAAAAATACAATTAATATTACTTCAGGAATATTAAAAAAAAACCTTGAGTCCAGAAATTTAGCAGCATAGTTCTTACACTCTTAAAAATAGAGACAGAGACAAGAGAACTTTTTAATGACAAAGAAATGAGAGTCCACCTTCAAGTACTGGGTAGAAGAGAACACTAGCGCTTGTGTGAATTTCCTAACAAGCACCCTTTTCCCCAAAGGGACTCTGAAATGTTCTAGGAGCTTTAAAAAGTAACATTTATCTTCTTACTGTAATAACTTGAAAATCTTCTTGAACAAATTCTAATCTTAAGATTTTTTTATATTGTTGCTAGGAAAAATTCTATTTAACTTAAAGCAATTGTTACATAGATGCTATATAGTAAGAATATACCAAAAGCAACCATTTCCAAGTATATTGTGTCCAACATGCACCTTATATTTAATCTCATCTACACCAAGGTTGCTATTCCCATTTTACTGTTGGAAAAAAATAAGGCTTTGAAAGATTAATTAGCAAGGTCACGCAGTTATTTAACAGACTCAGACCTGACTCCTAACTCTGAACTCTTCATAACTTGTCCTATACTTCCCTTAGAATACTGTATTAGTACTTTATGTTACATTGTAAATTACTTCATTGGAAGAAGTAAATCAAGTATACCTCTGAATCAAATATATTGTGTGACTTTTTCAATAATTTTGGGCAATTTCTTTGAAGTTGAAATAAAAACACTGTACGCCTCTGATAAAACGTGATTAACATGAACACCCATTCCCATATCAGGCTCCTTAACAAAGAGTTCATTACACTCGATGTAGAGCTGCGGCAGGGCTCTGCTAATTGGCTCCTTGGTAGCCTACAGTAGCAAACGTGTCTACTCATGAACCTACCAGGCAGGGAGTGACAGACACAGAATACAGCTCATAACACCAACTTGAAAAGAAAAGGTGAAATAACTCAGTTGCTAGTAAAGGGCTAATGATATAATAGTACATAGTCACTATTTATAAACTATTCCTTTCAATGTATCTAATCACTTTTAAAATGAGTTTTCTTGCTATTTAATAAAATGGGTTACCTAATGACTCCTTCCTCATTTTAAATCATACTCAGTGGTCAGAATCAAGCCCAACAGCATCTTCCTTTGAAGAAGCATTTCCTGCTTTCCAGTAGACTAAATTGCTCTTTCCTCATTTCCTAGAACAAACTCAACACACTTCTGTTCAACACAATTCATTCTATGTTGACTCTAAGTCACTTTTAACATATCTTGTCCATAGCTAGTATGGCTAGAACTTTAGCACTCTACAAATAACATCTTCAAATCCCCACTCTGAGCCGTAGTGGAACTTCAGATACATTTGTTAGCCCATAAACTCATCTGAATTGTTCTACTCTAAGAAGGCCAAGGTGATGCAAGTTATTGCTATTTAAGTGATATTATTAGCTCTTGATTATCAGATTTCTAAGCCTAAATTAAGTTCATCAAATGTCTTTGGTATATGTTCAATAAACAATAAATATTTTAATATTTATGTATAGCTGTATAGTAACATAATACATATTATAGCAATACAACAATCAGAGCAATGATTCACCTTTAAAATGTAAGTTGAAGGACATGTGTCAAATATCTGGGCTTCTAAATTTTTTTTTTTTTTTTTTTTTTGTATCAGGGATCAAACTCATGACCTTATTCCAACATTTTTTGAAATGGATCAAATACATGTAAGAAAAATCATTTCATTATCAAATCACCTGCTTTATTTTATATCTCTAACAGCTAGTTAAGACACCCTGATCACAAGGCAAAATTAACATCAAAAATTGAATTACAGAAACACTACCTGGGTTTCAAAAGGTAAAGCTTTATTGTTATTTAAAAAAAAATACCTGTGAGTGGTAAAGTCATACTGTTTAACAGAAAATATTCTAGGTGTAAAGGCAAGTGGCCTGGAAAAATGATGTACACAGAAATAAGGGCCAAGTATAAAAGAAATACCATTTTCTTAGTAAGAAACTAACAGGAGTTGACCAGTAAGGACAAGATTTGGTAAAGCCAAAATCACTTGAGAGAATTATGTATGTTAATTACAATATTAAAGAGAAAATACTTTAAATGTATAAATTCATCAGTAGTTACTGAATTCTTGTGTTTTGAAGAGGCCAAAGCTTGTTACGATGTTGAAAAACAAAATTTCAAGAATCTTTCTGTTTTGATATTAATATGTAGTCTCCATTCAAATAGTTTTTGTTCTCTTGAGCAAAAATGGACCTAATGAAAACAAATAAAAACAGAAGATTCAAACTCTTCTTCAAAACCGAATCCCAACTCTGACTGGGGACTACAGACCTGAGGCCGTCAGGGTCACAGATTTTACACTGTCATGCTAAATCAAATGCACCTTTTAAAACTACATTTCATCAAATTTAAAACTACATTCTTTTCCCTTACAAATCCCTCACCATCACTCCAACTACTTAGATCATTATGTATGCAGAATGAGCAAGTTGTTTCAGCCTAGAAATAGTTTTGAAAGATGTTCCGTCCTCTTTCATCTGCACCGTGAATGACCTTTACCAGTTCATCTCAAGGATAGTATCTCCCTAACTAGCTCTCTTGTCTGAGGTGATCTTCTTCCCTCTCCCCTAGCCCACAAGTATCCCACACCTTCCAAGGGCTAAGGTGTTAATTCAGTCACCTCACATCCCAACTTGAAAATGTCCACAGATCCCTGGTTTTCACATATTACTCAGCCCTTAGCATAAAGCTAAGAACTATACTTATTTGCACATCTTTTTTCTATAAGCTCAAAGATGATTTAAATTTTAATAATTTGATGTTTTTGTATATGGTTAATATAAAAATAATAATGAAAATATTTGGTTACAAGAGCTGAGATTTTTAAAAATCATCCTGAAGAACTGCAGTGGCCACTGTAAGACATGTGGCCATGGAAAGGATTGGGAGACTTGCAAGCGCTTTCTTTGTATTATTAACCTCCAAAGTATATGTGTAAGAAATGCTTCCTGAATTTGGGAGTTTTCTGAACCAAAACTTAAAATTCATAGACTGGTAATATCAAACTTACATAGCAACTAACTAGGTCAAATATTTGTAAGTAGAAATACCAACTCTGTGTTGAAGGCAGCAGAGAAGCCTGCCTGGAGGAATCTGGGTAAATAGGCACCATGGTAGTCCTCTCTCTGCCTAGATCCTGACCACTTTAAAGTCAACATGAGAATAAGGTCAAGCAATTTTAGCCGACAGGATATAACTGAAAAACACACTGAACAATAAATGTTTAAAGTAATTGAAAGGTGTACAATTTATGTATGTCTAGCATAGTTTACTCAAATACATGTTCATCAGGGGCAATTAACAAAGATTATTAATCTACATGTAACAATCTTTCCTTTTCAATTTTACAAATAAATAATTCTCTCAGATTTTACTTTAAATGTTAAACCAAAAAGCTTACATATTGATTTATAAAAATTAACACAGTAGGGTCATTGGAATACAATCTTAATACCTTCCTATCAGAAATCTCCAGAGGACTTTCATACTCTATCTTGTATTTGATCATATCGTAACAACCTGCTCTCTTTAACTATCGGACTCGCTATGTGTTATCCTGTGTCCAGTGCGTAAGAGCTCGTTAATTACCTAAACTATATCTCCATAGGTCTTGTTAATTACCCGTCTCCTGTCTCAGAGGACCTTGTTAATAACTTGTACAGTCTCTCTAAAGAGGTCCTAACAACACATTAAAATTAAAGATGCTTTTCTTTTAGCACCTGTCAAGTGCTGTAAATTGAGAAATTTTCACATCAGTTTATTAGCCTACAGTAGTTTTTGTGGGGTTTTTGGCTCATTTTCTTCTCTCTCAGATAATCTCTCTGTATCTTATGTTTGCTCAAAAAAATTAGCAAACTTTGTCATTTTGTTACAGAGCTTTTTTTGTTTTCAATTTTGAAGACTATAAATATCAATTTGCATTAGTGATAGCAAAAAGATGGTACGCTTGGTATCTGCAAATTAACCCATTGGGAGACACACCAATTAATGAGACCTATTATAATGAGTATTAAGATGACAAAGGGTAAAAAAGTTTCATGTAGCCTCGGGGGACTTAAACATAGAAGTTCTAGTTAGTGTTATGGGAACTAATCAATCGCCTACTTCAAGTTCCCAGTCACTGTTACACTGAAAACACTCTGTAAATCCCTGGACATTAATGGATTAATGGCTCTAAAACTCTTGAAGTTTGTGTTTTCAGTGTCACAACTTTTCAGCTGGGTAAAATATTTATTGTCTAGCATGAATAACAGACAAAACAAATATGAAGAAAAAGTAAACACTGCTATTCACATAAGTCTCAAAGCATGGTCAAGTTTATGATACCAAAACCTGAGCTTGAAATGCATTCATAAAAAAAAGTATCTATAGGGTACTATAAAAATTAAGTTTTAAAAACTATGAAAAAGATCTTTTCTTTTGGATCATTTACTTTTTAAAACAAAAATGTAATCTATGTTAAGTTTATTTATAAACATATTATACAATTTCGTAACAAAGCTTACATGATAATAGACCTGGGGTGATTTTTGATTTGTGAAAATTATAAATATACTTAAATATACATTCTGGGCAACCAATTTTTTGTAGTTCCTAAGAAAGATACGATACAATCATAGACAGTAATTAACTAGTTATGAAAGGAAAAAAAAATAAGGAAGGGAGAGAAAGAGGGCAACCTGATCTCAAAAGTTAAAAGGAATACAGTCATGAAAAATTTAACAATATTAGTGATGTATATAAAGTCTTGATCTTAAATATCATTTCTACACTGCCTTTAAAAAACCTAAGTATTTGACCTAACCTAAGTTCATCAGCTAAGGAGAAGGCATGCTTTAGTAAATATTACAAGCAAAAATACATACTCTAAAAATCAATTACTATCAAGAATATAAAATACACCACTAAGTTATCCAACAGCAAGTAAGAATGTGCTACTGGTATTCTTAACTGCAGAAAAGCACAAAGTAGTGAACTAAAAGCATATTCAGAAATAGACAAATGCCCCCAAAACACAGTTCTCTGGTAAAAATGTCTACAATTAGTCCTTGTTCTCTGATTGGCTTTTCCTCTGGCCTCAAATTACATCAGCTTATCACAAGACTAGTCTTCTATTACTGACTTTTATAAATTCAGAGTAAGACACACACAGTAATTTTCTCTGTATGTTAAGGAGTTTCCTTAACTAGGTGCAATACTGAACTTTTTGAGTGAGCCCATAGCACCTTAGAAGAATGCTGTGTACATCAGTTTCTCTTCACTGACTGGGTAGAATGCAAATATAAGCATATTTTAAAGGGTCACTTATCACTATTGATGGCCACGTTTTTTCCTGACTCACAAGAAACAATTCATTCACAGATACCATAACCACCAACTAATACAACATTTGTGCTTGGTTTTCAAGGCCCAGGATATAACTTGGGTTTGGGGGCTTTTTTTTTTTTTAACATATTCACCCAAATCTCTTAACCCTCCTGCGCATGTTTCAATTCTTCACTTCAGTTAAGAGTCTTGTCCTGTAAGCAAAGGACCTAGTAAATGGGACTAAGTCATCAGTTCAAACGTGTTTATCCATACAACTCACAATTCCCAGTCCTTAAAAAATAACTTGCTGTTGAGCTAATATTGGTCGGACACTATTTTATGTTTATATCTTGTACTTATGAAGATAACAATATGCAGTGTATTAATTATAGTTACTGTCCTACTAGCCTGTTTCAAAACTGTTTTACTATTATTTTTATTTCTCTTTAGAATAAATAAAAAATTATTGGGTGCTTATGAAATAAATACATGATGCAATTTTGACGAGCAATTCGTAAACCTAATAACCAGTGGGAAAGTTTTAGTGTTAATTTGTCTTTCAGAAACCACTCCCTAAAAGTCCTAATTCTGTCTGCGGTAAGGCAAAATAAATTGCAATTTTAAAAATTCTCAGGACCTAAAAAAGATACTGTCATATAGAATTTAATAATATTAAAGGACAAGCATTATGAAGTCAGCTCAGTGGGGAAGACTATAAGAACATCACAGGACTTCTGTGTCAGCAGAAATCCAAAGGGAAACACGAAGTTGTTGCTCAAGAATTAGAACTTTTATCATCAGTGAGAAATGGGTTTTGACATTCACGAGACAAGTTACGCGTGTAGCCTATACCTGAGAGCCAGGAATGGAGATGCATGGCTGACATGTTTACAGCTGGAGATAGAGAAAGGAAATTACCTGACTTAGAACAGTGGTGAGAAATAGCAAGAGAAGAGCTGGGTAAGGAGAAACTCAAAATGTAGTAGAGGCTATAATTTAGAAAGAAGAGTTTAGCTATGTTATTGCAAACTAATAGTTCTTAAAATTTTTAACCTGGGCTTTCTCAAATAGAAGACACCATGGCCTACTCCCATCCTTGGGAGGATAAGCAATGCTAAGTGTATAATGAATACATGCAAAAACCTCAGCAACTTGATATTCTGATAGTCTATTATTCAGACAAAGTACATTTGGGTATTCCTGGTCTGGCACCATTCACATGCAAGCAGCAACCCAGGCTGTCCCATTCGGCTGAACGAGGTTAACATAGTATTTCTATAGGAAGATAAATAGCAAACAGTTTCTTTTTGCAGGTCACATGGCCTCCAATTATCGGATTCTACCTTGGTAACACAAAAACTGCCATAAATAGATCAGAGCAGTTCCAACAAAACTTTATTTACAGAAACAAGTGGCAACAAACAAGTCAGATTTGGCCCACGAGCCTCATGTGCCAGTCATTGGTCCAGGGCCTGGAGGAAGAGGGGCAATGCGGAAGACCATAGAAGGGGTTTTCACCCGGAAGTGGTATACAACTATTTTACTCTTACAAGTTAGAATTTGGTCACATGATCCAGATGAAGTGAAGAGTCTGAAGCTGTGCTCCAGTTTTTTAAAGAAAATAAAAACTTGGGGTTGGTGAACACACCCACTCATTTACATATTTCCAGGCATATTTGTTTTTGGAAAATGATATTCTGCTAATAGAAAAAAAGTCATTGCTTTCCACACAATGGGCAAAAACACTCAACAATTTAGTTAATAGGTCAGTTGATGATAAAAATTTGTTGATATTGATACAAATCAATAAAAAGAGTAACAATTCTGAAACACAACTCAAAACCATTGCTAAACTTATATACTTTCCTGAGCACTACAGGGATTCCAACTATGCTTTAAAGTACATGTGCAGTAGGAGTCTGACAGCTACCAAGTGTTCAAGAGTTAGATGATAACCAGACTTCTCCATGGAAAGCTGAGTTAGTGTCAACAGCACATGCACTGCTGTATGCCCATTAAACCCATTCATTTCCTTCTGGATACATAGTTAACCCCTATTCCATAACTGACTGTGATGGGATTGGGCCATAAATGAGCTTTGGCCAAAGGAATATAAGTAGATTCAATGCATACCACTGCCAGGCCTGGCACAAAGCAATGTTCCATCTTAGACACTGTTCTTTCTTCCCTCTCATAATCATCTTGGAAGCCATGTGACAAAAGGCTTCCTGAAAGACTGCCTGGAGCTGAATGATTTACGAAGCAGAGCACCAACTTTTTCCATTTCCATCTCCATAACTGCTTTGTAACAAGAGTGAGCAATAAACTTTTATTGGAATAACCACTAAGACATACAGCCATTACCCTATGCTAATACAGAGTTCTTACAGACTCTAGAAACGTGCTATGTTATAAATATTACACTTTAGTAATCATTTAAAAATAAAACTTTTAAGTATTTAGTTGCATAAAAATATGCACACATTCACCTTATAGGTGAGTTACTCTCCTTCTATCAAGAAAGATCTCCACAGTCCAAAACTAGGCTAGAAGCAGAGGCCAACAGAATGAAAACAGTATTTCAGGAAACTAATCTGCTCACCTGAGTTTATTTATTCAAAATTTCTAACACCTACTGTCTACTAAGTGTCTTAGTAGAAATTAAGGGCAAAAAGATGAATGTTACAAGTTACAATTGAGACCATAGCCTCAAATTGTAACGGTGAAAAAGAAGTGACTAAGCCATTAGTGACCAATGTGATGCTCACAGAAGATGTAAGACTTAGGAGAAAATGCTATAGCTCAGGAAATCACCACCACTCGCCAGAAGAGCAGGAAAGGCTCCAAAGAAGCCGGGGCATATTAAGAAAAATACTATGAGCTGGTAACTTCAGGGAAAAAAAGTGCTTCAAAGAGTCCTACTCTTTGTTGAAGTAACCCAATACAAACCCTACTTTCCTTTATCATTTTCCACAAGGATATGGGAACCATTCCAAGAACACAAGCAAAAAAAAGTTTTATGACTTCAAATGCAATTTTTTTTCCAGGTAGATAACCTACAAAAACAAAGAAAATTCTACTACTTTTAACATAATGTTTCTTGGTACATTTAAAAATTTTTGGCATAAAGAAAATTCTCCAGTTTTAATCACATGCATTATTCGTTCAGAACAGAATAGTATATAGTTCTTTTGTCCCTGCCAACAGAGATAAACCAACTCACTCACCAAAAGCAAAATCTAGTTTTGGAAGTGTGTATTTTATTTTTAACTTTACTCAATATTCTTACAAACACTGTTCCCAAGAGCCCAAAAGACTCTATAAAGAGATCTATTTAGCATGACTGGAAAAATAATTCACAGTATGTGTCTAAGTATACAAGTTGGTAGCTTCAAAAGTGCATTTGATTTGGATGTTAATGTGAGATGCCCCACATAAGTGAGAGATGATATTTGAAGGATAAACAGGAACACTATACATATACCACCACGGAGAGACAACGATACCTTGACAGTATCTTCCCAAAAGCTACCCAAGATAAAGATGCTTGCTGAAAATGTGAACTGTATTCTTCTAGATCTACTTATTCTGAATTTGTCTTTTCTTCTTTTTTTTTTTTCTTTTCCAATATAATTAGATCTACCCCTTTACCACACGTTTTACATTTACCACAAGATGGCCTGTGACACAGAGTAATTTTTAGAAATTTATATGGTATGTCCTCATATTCAATATTTTATAAAAGGAGAAAAGTTTTAAAAGTAAAGTCTTTATGTAACTGCAATCGTTTTACATATATATCTTATGGAACAGCTCTATTTTTCATAGACACTCCATTAATATTGAAGTAACCTAAAACGAAGTCTAAATTTATCAAAAGGCCCCAATCGCTTTTACTCTATGGCAGCCCATATATACAAGTCCAAATATAAACCGATTAAAGATTTGATGATACATTTTTCTATGTTGATTTTATTTAAAAATATTACTTTCTTACCATTTCCCATTTTCTTGTTCGTCTTTAAAATTATCTAAGTTATTTTAGACAACTGTTTCCAATAACCTTCTACAAAAATAAGTCTAGTAAAAGATGAAGAAAGGAAATGTATTTCTATGTATTCATGTAATTTAGGATTTAATGAAATATACAAAGTAAACTATGTGAAATACCCATATAACATATTTTTGAACAGCACATCAAAAGTACAACCTCTCCAATAAAAAATTCTGATACTACACAATAAAATTTTGTTTTTGTGGAGCCTATAAACAAAAGTAAATAGTGCTTTCTAAAGTTGCAGTGAACACCCATTTATTGATAAAAGAAGCAAAATAAACACAAATTTTACTTTGAAAATTTTAAATTTACATTTTCTAACATGTTATAGAAGATACACAAACAAGATATAGGAGAGAAAGGCCTAAAAAAATAACTGTTAGCACATTTTCTGTTTGTAGAGAAACCAAGAAAATGCTTCTTTTTAATAAAAAAAAAACACAATAATGCATAAAACATAATACAAGTTGAGTTTCATTTACCCCAAATTCTTGAAAGCCAAAGTGTTTCAGATTTTAGAGCTTTTTGAATTTTGGAATATCAGCACTGATTTTATAAGCTGAGTATTTCTATTCTAAAAATTCAAAATCTGAAATGCCCCAAAACCCGAAACTCAAATAATTCTATTATTATGAAACCATTAATACTTATGCCAGTTTTTCATAAGGAAAACATTGTAAATTTTGGATTTTGGCTTAGGGATGCTCACACTGGACATTCACCATTTACCAGTTCCTATTTAGGGCCCGAAATACTGTGTACTTCATGGACTATTTATCCTCCCTGAAGATGCTGAGGTTTATAGAGGTCATAGCACTACTAAGCTGAGATTCCCATTCAGGTCTATATATAAAACTTCTATTACATGGCAAACATTCCACTGTGTACTTTCATGAAAATAGCTTAAGATTTCATTAAATTCATCACATTTTTTGCTTGGGATTTCCTCAGCCAGTTTTCCTTTATTCACATCTACATACTCTGTAACAGGATATAAATATAGGTAGTTCCAACTTCTAAGGAGTAATATACATACATATATTTATATATACACACACTATATGTGAGAATAACTTTGAGAATTCAGAGTTTGAAAAATCTAATTATTGTAATTACTCCTGACAACAAATCATCATATAAATCCCTTTGGTATACTATACCAAAGAACACACAAAGTTATTGAATTTCAATAAATATTCATAAATAAAAACTTTTCTAAACAATCATTTAATTAGTTAACATTTGTTATGAAACCATAAGTACTAAAACCAGTATTTCTTAAATATCTCCTGGGCTGCTATTGGTCTACTATTCTAATTCTCTCCCAAGAATTAATACCTGAAAAATATACAGAAACAAGTTTTCTGACACCTCTGTATTATTTACTCTCGTCATGTCTCATTAAAAGCCACACTTGCCCTAACGATTTTGGAGAGTTTCTGGCACACATAAATGAGAACAGACTGGGGGTAAGGGAGGATAAGAATCTTTTATTTGTCCGGGATGAAAAGTTGAATTCAGAAGATATATGCAACACTACCTGGCTCTATAATTAAAATTTTTTTATAACTTAAAAATAAGAATTTTTTCAAGTAAAATGAAACAAATTTAAAATATCCATGTTTAAAAAGAGCATTTGATATTTTCAAGTACAAAATTTTTTACGATAGCACAAATTTTCCACATTAAGCTTACCTTGAAGATGGCATTATATTTGAAGCCCTGAATTTTGTTGTAAACGGATTAGTTGACTCATAATCAAAATAGTCCTGCCGATTTTCACTAAAAGCATTAGGTGATTTCAAGTCACAAGGGCTATCAGATCCCCCATTGTTAAGTTTATCAGACCGTCTGCTTTCTTTTTTCCCAGTCACTCTTTCAAACAAGCTAACTTTCTCCCTTTTCTCTCTTTTATTTTCTTTTCTTACTTCAATTGATTTTGAGAACAAATTCATGCTACTATCCCATGATTCACTGCTTTCTTCAAATGGATTTTTCTTTCTTGGCAGTGTTGCAAATTTTTGGGGTAATGAAGCAGTCACATTTGTAAATAGGTCATTTTGTCTTCCAAAAGACAATTCGCCTTCATCCACAATGCTGTCAGGTTGGTTCATTTTAGAAGTATCAAAGCTTAATGTTCTTCTGTGTGGAGATTTGAGACTTCCTATAAACAATTTTGTAGTCAGTACATAATCAGCAACCCATTACATCACACTATTTGACACATTCCGCATGCATTCTCCTGCTTTTAGAATAAGCGTAATTAGCTATTTAAAGGTATTAACCTTAAAAATACCCAAGGAAAACAACATTAAAATGGTAAGGTACAGCAGTCTGAAGTATCTAGATTAATAACAATTAGTGCACTGTTAAACAATTACCAATTTACTAGGCTCAGGAATGGTCACACAAATTACAGTATCAAGAATCTATTGGGATGATAATGCCGGAAATTCTCAAAGACATTTCTTCGTAAAATATTAGCACTGTTTACTTTCTTATTTCTCAACATAAAAGTATTTTTCTAGGAACTTTATTAAAAAATGGAATATTCATTTATGCTTCCGTCTTTCAAGGTAGAAGAAACAGCAATTAAAAAAGAAACCAGGCCATGAAAGGAGACTAGGACTCATTATCTAATATGAATACAGACAAGCTCTGCCTTCAAGAAACATCAATTTGGGGTTATTACAGACACACAATTAATATTTACCATATGACTAAATTTAGAAAGTACAAGAAACTACATATTTTATTTTCTAACTTTAGAAATTAAATCTTAAAAACCAGAAAGGTATTTCAGATCACTAAAGGTACACCCAGAAAGGAGGAGCCACTTACCACTTTCTGGAACTGCTCCAAAGGAATCTATCCGGCATCCAAGAAGATGTGTTTGACCTACAGCGCCAGACTTGAGTTTCTCAGAAGATGCGTGGGACCCAGTTAAATCCGACATTGAATGTGCAGAAGAGAGTCTCTGAGGACCCAAAAGAAAAGGCTTTTTTGGTTTGGATTTCATCAGTATTTCACCACTTGAAAATTCAGTATTGGCATCAGGCATGTGAGTACTTGGAATGATTGCAGAAGATGTATCGGAAAATGTTCCATCATTTTTTCTACCTTTCATTTTATCTTTTAATTTTGCAAAAGGAGATCTTGTTTTGTCCTTCATTGATAAGTCAAACATACTTGCTGTCATATTGTTCCTCATAAACTGAATATTGACCTTTATCTCACCCCTGTTTTTGATGCTTTTTCCTTGTTTGGATTCTAATCTAAACCACCTTAAAGAAAAGAAAAAACAGGCTGTAACATTTAATAAAGAGGATGTTAAGTTTTGCTACACACAAATAGCTACATCATCCAAAGTTGCACATGAAGGCAGGCTAAACACTCAATGAGAACCTGCCTGCCAGAGTGGTTCCCGCTTTCCTCACTGCTTAACTTTAAAATCTGATCAGTTTCTGTGATGTGACAGATCTTTGGTGAATATGATAAGGTACTTAGGTAACATTTTCTTTCATACTTGAAAATTATTCATCATCAAAAACTCTTACCAGCGATAGTTAATATGTTTCCACATTGGATAATTATTTCTAATGTCTAAGGAAATTTTTTGACATTAAAAATACTGAGGTGGAGATTTTAAAAGAATTCATCAATTCAAATTATGGCTACCATAAAATGATAAGTAATGGTAACATTTTAATAAAATACTTAGCTTACCCCAACATATCACTTATATGAAAGTATTAAAAGAATTCCGTTAACATTGGAGACTACTACAAATAATCATTAAAGCTACAAATGATGTAATTCAAATTCATCTAAAATGGATCAAAGCCTTCCAAATTCAATTTGCAAGTGACAAATAATGAAGTTTACAAAAAAAGTTTAAATGCTTCCTTTAGTATCTACTTGCTTCATTTACCACTGTGACACCACTGAATAAAAAATACCTTTATAAAGCCAAATCTCAAGCTTTAAATTGCTTCAGTGTATCATACCGCCCATTTTTAAATGATGTGTAATGAGAAGCAAAGTTTATTTGGTTTTGTTTATGGTACTTTTACCCATGAGAAATATTCCAGTTCTTGATGTCACAAGTGGTCATTCTACAGGGCAGTCAAAAACAAACAAACAAACAAAAAACTGCAAAACTGAATCTAGAAAAGTATTTGTACTATGTATTCACATTACTTAGCATGAAGCATGATTGCCATTCTTTCATACAAGTAATTAAATACAGCTCTATTTGAATGCAGCAGATTTTCTTAGCTACAAAGGAACTCTCATCTAATTTTACATTAGTCCTTTTTCTCATTGTTATCAACAAGATAAGCCAAGAAAATACTGCAGTTACTACACAGCTAGTGGAACACTGGTTCACAGGCCGTTCCAGGAAGGAGAACGAATGGCCATATTAATATTTATACCCACTACATCGCAACAAGTAACACACAGGTGAAATATATTTTCTTTATCCATTACACTGGCACAATTAGGGTATGTAGTAGTTGTATTGAAACAAGCAATTTCTTAGAAAAAACTATATTATAATTGAAATTGTTAACCTGAAACCAAAACCCCTTCTGTAAGATAAACAGAAAAAAAAAAAAATCAGAGACTACAAACAAAAAATGACAATAGTAAACTGTGGACTATAGAATCTTGAAAGATATGAATCCGAGCACACAAAATGCCTGTACATGAAGCAAGGCTATACAGTCAGCAACTAACTCTTGGTTTTGGAAAACAGAGCCATTTTCAGTGTGGGGAGGGAAGGAACACTTGAGAGATTATCTCGCAGGGTATTTCTACAGGCTACAGGCTACACAGAAAACAGGTGAATACAGTTTGTGAGAAAACAAGAAAACATGGAATTCGTATAATAAAGCGGATCTGAGAAAAAATAAATAACCCAAGAAATGTAAAGAGAGTCAAAATTCACAGAATTTTAGATATAAGACCAAGTAAAATCATCTACTTTAACATCCTTATTTCACAGATGAGGAAATTGAGGCATAGAGAATGATATGTAATTTCCCAACATCAGAGTAAAATCAAATAAGGAAAAAATCTAAAGCTGATGAATAACAGCTGTAGGAAAATAGTTCTTCCTTATTTGACGAACCACATGTGTTAATAAGGTTAACCACATGGCTGCCACATATTATAGGATACTGTATTTAATCAAGACATATGATAGCCAAAGAAGGTGGCAATACAGATTAATCACCAGAGTAAAAGCTTCTTGAAGGCAGTTTATCCTATACTAAATAAAATGTTTACTCACTTGTTATTTCCAGAACCAATATTCTTAAATTTACTAACCTACAACAACATTCATGTGTGTTTTGTATTGTTTTATAATAGGGAACTGTAGAGACCTAGGTAAGCTTTAGAGTAAAGCAACTCTGTATAGATTTCAATACAGTGTATTTTCCACCCCCAAAACACCCTACAAAGTCTTTTAATATTCTAAATCAGTGTACTCTAAGAAAAACACTAATTTAAAAAACAGGCATGACAATTAATTTAGCTGCTTTGTTTTGACATTGATATAGGAGAGAGGTCTTAATGAGACCTTCAAAAATCATTCCTGAGAGTGTTTGTTTTCCCAGGCTTCAAAAAGATAAAATGAAGACACAGCATTTGGGGCTTACTGGATTAATGCTGATTTTTTTCACCTCTGGAGCAATGGATTTAAACTGTTTATGGCCTCTTTTCAATTTTTAGCAGGCACAGGTCCATGTCCAAAAACCACCACACATGTGGGAACTATTCCTAAGCAATTGGTGCTGTGTGGTCAGAAATGGGACAAGATTGGCAGTAAGGGTGCCAGAGGCCAGGACGCAGGTGCACTTAGGAGACCCCCACAAAGCCCTAAAATCCACATATGTTTGAGTCATGCCTAACTCTGAGGTCTCTTGATTGCTATTTCTTTTCATGAACATTAAAAAAGAAAAATCAACATCACCTATTTCTGTTGTAAGAACAAATTCAATGGATATTACATAATAGCATCAACAATTTTACCATTCTGTTATTAGACGTTGTATTATTTCCTTGAATTTCTCAAATATCCGCTGAAGGGGGAGATATAGAGGTTCTCCATCCACTAAAAGGGTCTGATTCAGGCCCTTCACCCCTTTTCCTTAAAAGAAAAAAAAGTATCTTCCAGGTGTAAAACAAATAGTATAACACTTTTAACTATTCCACTTCTTTGCCTTTTATGACACCATTGGGAAGACAAGATGTAAATACTTGTCTTCAGTCTCAAAAAGTAAAAAGTGTCACATCCAGAAGTTTCATGGGACTTCTAAATCAGCTGGTAACCTTCATCACTCATACCAGTTTTCTAAAAAGTGCTTGGGAATAATATGCTGACAAGATTTAGCAATGTGCAGAATGCTAAATATCTTTCTTACAATACACTGGTGGCTCAAGTCTGTCTCTTACTGCGCCACATGTACAGCTGTGCTGGAAAAAGGAAGCTGTTAAATATATTAAAAATCTAGGAATATTACCAATAAAGATACCTCATCAAATACGTGCTCCCTATTTATCCACAAAGAAAATGTTAAAGGTTTAATAACACATGAAAATCACTTGAATGCAATAACATCACAAGCCCTGTTGATAACATTTCAAAGCATTTCCTCCCTGAAGTTCTCATCAATTTTATATAAAGAGTACAATATTAAGAGCATTGCTTATGGCCATGTTTAATATAACTGATGCTGCCAAAGACAGAAATAAAGCAAAAAGGAACTTTAAAAGGTTCACTTTCAGGTTCTTTCACACTTGGACCTACTTTAACTTGAAAAGTTTATGTCTTGGAGGCCTGCACTATATTATCCATTAATATTAAATGTACCGTTTAAACACAGTACGAAATTTGAGGTTACAATATACTCAAAAGTTTACATTCAAAACAATTTACATAGTAACCACTAAGAGTCACCTCAAATTGACAATTTGAAACAAATTATTTGGTAATTACTCATTTTTTCATTTAAATTTGATGAATACTGTGCAGGAAACCGAATGCCATTTTTTAGGTATTTAACAGTTCTGCTATTAAAATCATTTATAAATATGCAACTTGAAAAAAACTTTTCTCCTCTTTAAAAACATTTTTCAACTAGTTTAAATTTTTATCATTTTTCCTCCACCATTCCCAGTATTTCTCATCTCACTACTCTTTCACCTACATATACTGAATTTTAAAGTCCAGATTCAAAAGAAAACAATAAACTCTCATCACAAGAAGTCTTCAGGCAGATAAATACATAAAAAGCAAAAGATGGATAGTTTAAAATACAAGAACTTAATGTGAACGTAACAAAAATTATTAGTGCACAATCCTACATATATTTCAGTTATGACTGAAAGAAACATTAAAACTACTCTGGAAATTTGAAGTTCAAATCATTTTTCTCCCATTAATTTCACTGATCTTGATGTTCTCTCAGGCTAAAAAAAAATTGTGAAGTTAAGGATGGGTGAATTACCTATTTCTGAAAACACTTTTCTCAATTTAAGATATATCCAGTGTTCAGTTGTATCGATATTTTTTAAATAAAATATATCTAACTCAAGCTTGAAAGACTGAAAAGGCCACATTTTCATTGAAGAAGTCATTAAATCACTTCTTCACAAGAATTTAATCATTGTCTGCAATCTTACAGCAGTTAGTAAGGTCTAAACATACTAGCTTTGCAAAACTAACTCAAGCGATACAATAGCTCCAGTATATTGCAAATTCAAAGGAAAATGTTAGTGAGTTTAAGACTAAGGACATTTGTACATACTTTCAAAACTTTTCTCTTAACATCTTTATACTCTTAACTGACCCTGAAAAATGGTTAGACTAAGATAAGGCCCAACTGCGTTTAAAATTCTAAAATAAAATACTGAGTTTTAAAATTGGTAATATATCATTTGACAGTCATGAGTTCACCATAGATATACACATTACATTGGAAGATTTAATTTTCTGATTTTCCACATCATGGGAAATTATAATGTTTAAAGAACATAATTTATACCTACAATAATTCTAGTCAGCCAACAATGTGATGCAGCCCTTTTAAAAAAGTGAAATAATATTAATTTTCTTAAAATCCGGTGCAAAATATTAACAGATTTTTACCTCAGACAGAAAGGAGGAATAATGAATCATTAATCACTCCATTTAAAAAATGTTTCATCACATGGGCTATTTTTACTTCAGAGTCATGCAAATAAAGTGCTTAAAACTGGGTCATATTTCAATTCAAAACCAATGCCTCAAGTACACAAATATATTTCCAAGAACAGACAAACCATAAATAAGGTATAGTTAAGCTCCCCCAAATTCAAAACAAATTACATAACTTACTCTGTTCTCCTTCTTTGTTTGTCCTCAAAGATGTCATTGAGATTGATTGCCACCTGCCCTAAAAATTTATCCAGACCTACCAGGGATCTGTGCATAACTATAAGGAAAAGAATGTATTTCTCTGGATTCCCCTGCATTAGCAATCCAGGCAGCTCAAAGGAGGCCTCTTCCTTCCAGACTGGCTCAAGGGTTTTCTCAGCTACAGAGGTGGAGTATTTTTCCTTGCCCAGCTGGATTATAGTGTATGTGTCATTGGTGCCACTTTTGCCTTTTGGCTTCAGATCTTTGGCTTGGAGCACTGTGACCTGCACGTGGGTTGGGAACCACTTTTGGGCTTGCTCGGACAGCATCATTCTGTCCTTTCTCTCAGGACTGAGTTCCCAAGCGTAGACAGTGCCCCTCCCGCGGGGAGAGCCTAATTCTTTAAATCACTGCATTCTCGTGCGTTTAACGGAGCCAGGCCGACTCCGAGCAGTCCAGCCTGTCTGGGGCTGATGTCAAAACGCCTCGCGGGGGCAGCTTGGGGTCACGGCTGCTCGGGGGGCTCCTTTCCTCTGGAAAAGCACAGGGGCCCACATCACCTGGCCACGCCGTCCAGGCCTCCGCGCGGACCCGCGCCTCTTGTCTCCACTTCCCGCGGCGCCCGCCCCTGGGCGACGGGCGGCTCCCGGGCCTAAAGGAGGAGCGGCCTGGCCGCTGCGCCCCTGCCCCGACTCTAGCCCTGGCCTCCGGCCTGCCTCTCGGCGGCCCGGCCTCCACGCGCCTCCAGCCCGCCGTGCGCAGGTCCGCGGGCCCGGTACAGCTCCTCCTCCCGACCCCGGTAATACGAACCGCCTCCACTCGCGGGCCTCACTCCCTCTTGCCAACCTCTCCCTCCTCCTCCCACTCGCCCGGGCTCCTCCTCCCGGGCGGGGGCGGGTCGCCTGAGGGCGGAGTGGCACGGGACGGGGGAAGCGGCCGCCCCGGCGCCAGCAGGCCTCGGGCTGCGCGGCGAACTGCCCGGCGGCGGGCGCAGAGTTTGGCCAGGCTGGGCCGGCGGCTCCTAGCACCGGGCAGGCGGCGGCCACGGCACTTCCGGGTTAGCCTTCTCCATGTTGGGCTCGGCAACGCGTGGGGCGGGGCCGGATGGGTCAAGGGTCAGCGCCTCCCTCGTTGCTGTGGCGACCAGGGGCGCCTGTAGCGGAATGCAGGCAGACTAGGTTCTTGGAGTTGCTGAAGCCCGGCCGAGGGTTGGGATCTGGGGATTCAGTGTCCGACAGTGGAACTCTGGGGAGAGATGGAAGGGGCAACCAAGAGGAGTTCTCAAAGCCCTGGAAACTGACCAAACTAAGGAGACACCTGACTCGAGTCTTTGAGCATGGACTCTGCCCGTGTCTACCCTGGACACCCAGTGCATGGCAGTGCTATTTCAAGGGTAGTGGTGGACCAAATTGGTCCTCTTCATTGACTGAAACGTGTTTTCCTCCAACCCTTTATGCTTTTCGAAGACAGCCCATCAATAGACTACAAGTGACAACTCTCACCCAAGACTAAGGAAAAGAGAGAGAAAGATTTTATTGCAAAACTACTGCAGGGATTAGAAGAGATGAAGGAAGAAGGTGCTGGGATTGGCATCTGCTGCCCTCCTTCTGTGTAAAGGATGGCCAAGTTATTTCCCCTCTGAGCCTCAGTTTTTACACATGTAAAACCACTTCAATTAGTCTCAGACCCTATCATGATTTTGCTGTCCAAAATCATTTCATGGGCATTCACAATCTGGTGCGGAATTTGGATCATGTGGAAACCCTGTCCCAATTTCAAAAGGATAGATTGGAAGGACTATTATGAAATAATGCATGGATCTTCCTTAACTCATTGTGGCACATAGTTCTAAATCTCTTTTTGTCCTTCTGTCTCCTAGTTACAAGACACTCATGTCTCTATTTCCTTTACTTCTTGTTCATGTCTTCCTAAGGAAATTCTAAATCCTTTGGATTACTTTGTGTGTCATGCAAAGCCTTTATAGAGCTAAGCATTCAGTAGTTACGCTAGCCAATTTATTACGTAATTCAATGCCTTTTCTCCTTTTACAGGACTGATTTTAAGAGTAAGACAGTATGATAGATATGAATGCACTTTTTTCAATGTATAATGGGCACAAACATGTGAGATACTCTGTTTATTATTTTCAGGCTAAGTTTAAAACTTCTCAAATTGAGACAGAACTTTCCGTCTCTGGGAGACAGCTTATGCAGGACCAAGTGTGGAAACCAGAACAAAATTATCTCACTGTGTATATAGCATCTGGATCCCAGAGTGGGCAGTTGTCAACTTGAAAGAAAAATATTCTTAAGGATTTTTAAAAAGTACATTGGAACAGTCAATGGTGGAATTTGGCCAGGGTCTCTAGGGAGAAATAATTTGACACCTGAAGCTTACAAAAACAAAATAAGCATCATGAAATACAATTTGATTGTTTAAGAGTTTTATAAATTGCGATTTTAAAGGTTGCATGTCTCTTTTAAAAGTTAAAATTAAATAAACAAGTAATTAGAATAGTGAAAGTGTGTTTCTAAAGAGCTTAAATTGTTTGGTAAGCTTTGCTAATGATTATAAACTTGTTTACAAGTATCATTTCACTCATCTCTGAAATATAGCCATCTCTAGGGTGGAATTTGGCAGCAGTAGTTCACGGCAACGCAATAATAGACTCCAACACAATTCAGAGAATACTCCAAAGACAAGAGTAGAACAACTAGAATTGCTGACCTCTCTTCCTGTTGCACCTAAATTTCTTTTGAGTTGTCCTAAAACCTGGCTAGAGCAAAAATTGTTTAGTCTTACTAACTAGCAACATCAAAACTTATGATTTAATATTTTAAAGCCAGAATAAGGAAATAGCATATTTTTGCTCATGGGGGAAACAAATAAGTCAAATATGCTAAATAGAATCTGGAATTATGTTACAAAAGAAAAGGTCATTCTGTGTTTTGATTATATTAAGAAAATAAAACACATAGATTGGGTCCAGTAAATGCTTGGCTCATGTGAAAAATAATGGCAATTACATAAAACCTTGTATCAAAGTGATTCTGCCAAAATGTTTGTTGTCTTACAGTTTTAATGCTTTTTCATAGGGAAAGAAAGATTGCATGCATAAGGACAGTGTGCCAGAATTGAGTCACTGTTTTATTATTATCCTATTCCTAGTGATATGTCCAGAAATGTTTGGTACAATTCCAAAATCAAGGACTTGAGAAAAGTTTATACAAGAAAGTGCTGAAAATCCTAATTTTAAACTTACAGTCTTTGCTGCAGTGAATAAGAATGATTTGACCAGAAGGTTAAAATATTCAACATTATTCCCCAAGCATAGGAGATTTCACAAATGAAAACATTTACCAAGTGCAGCACCTTTTAGGAAAGTCCAAGCATTGTGAGAGATGGTCCCCCTGGACATCAGCATCTCTAAAACCATGTCTTGCAAATCTATTATAGGACAATTACAATACTCTCAGTGTTTGAATAGCCTACTGGGTTGAGAGTGTTAATGCTCCCATACACATTATGTAATGGGTATTAATTACTTTCCAGATGGAGATGCAGAAACATTAGACCACGAAGTTTTCCCAAGGTCTCAGTATGATCTTAAGATTTCCAACACATACATACACACACCTCAAAAATACAACAAATGTATAGAAAGTTCATACATGTACACGTATGACAGAGGTATATTGGAGATACATTGATCAACCTTCAAGAACCAGAAAAAACTGACAAAGCATCTGGCAAATTGATTTGAAGTTCTAATAGTAATGAACTCGTACTGGGGGACTTGGGGGATTGTTTTGTTTTCATCAGTGGGTTGATTAATTTGTCTTCTGGGACTGGACAGTGTAGGCAGCAGTCTGTGCTGTGTGAGAAGCAACACGGTATTTGAAGACGGAGCTCCAGTCAGCAGCCTGAGTTTTCACGCCAGATCCACCTTTTACAAGCCACTTATCTTTAGGCAAATAATTTCTCTTCTTTTGGCCACCTGTAAAATAAAGAGTCTATAAGAGCAACCACTGACATACCCCTATAGCTTTCAGTAATTCCAACTAGTCCAGCCACAACAAAAAGACATAAATTGCATTATAATTATCTAACTGAATTTGCAAAATACACTATAGCAGATTTCCTTTTTATGTAACTTATTAATGAAGGGTCCTCTAATTCAGGAGAAAAAATATATTCTTTATGATGTCTTGAGATCTCTCTCTTTCAAATTAAATTAATGATCACAGAGGGAAGTAAATATAACTTTTATTACTAGGCCCTGCAAGAGGAAATTGACACCAACAGTTCAAGATTTGGAAGAAATTATATGTAAGTGCACACGGTTTTGAAAAGCCTTAAACTTTTCACTTGTGGTAATAAATATAAACTTTTCCATAATGTTTGTAGCTTTTTAAACCTTTTTTGATCATGCTGAGAAAGATAATTTATGAGACAAAATCATAATCACATTTGGGATATATATCTTTCAATTTCTTATTCATGTTATTATCACATTGTATAGTTTTACACTCTCAATAAAACCAATGCAGAGAAGAGGAATTGATTAATTGTTACATGGTACTGGATGGGATAACTAAATCCCATCTGGTTGTTTGTCCTTGTAAAGGGCACTGAAGTGTTCCCAGTTTTTCAGCTATCATAAACAGTTTTGCATAGACAGATTATCTATGTCTTTTATAATACGTGCAGAGATTTTTTCCCAATTATACCTCTTTTTGACAATTGATGAAATTATTGGAAGTTTATGACTGATACGCTGTACAATAGTTCTAATACTGGCACTACAAATTAAAGAGCTTTAGACATGACACACCATAATCTGTCTGTGTCTGAGCGATTTCAAATCTAGAATTCTCAAAGCCCTTCTGTTGTATTTCCTAAAAAGCAAAGATTAAGATGGGCATGTTGACACAAGACTGATTGTTACCCCAGTACATGGGAGGCTGAAGCAGAATTGCTGCAAATTCCAGGCCAATGTGAGCTAGATAGTAAGACCCTGTCTCAGAATAAAACAAAACAGAACAGATAATTATTCTTGCAAGAAGGGTTTTTGGAAAGACTTAGGTATTAATCTCCTAATTTCAGTTTTCTCATCATTGTGCAAACTTCATAACACTGCTTTAGGTGATTTACAAAATGTCTAGAGAATCTTATTACTGAAAGAGTTGATTATCAGAGTTACTTATATTTATCGTTATAAAAGTCAAAAGCATCTGTTAATTGTGTTATTAAAATCTAAAACATTTTTAAGCAAGAGATTTGAATTATATTTCTGAAATGTTCTGAAATACATTAAACTAGTGACCTGCTAGCTAAAATATTTGGGGTAGTGCTCCTCCTGTCATATGAGACCTAGTACTTTCGACATTTCCTCTTGCTTGATCTGTATTACGTTTTTTATATAGTTTCTTATTTGTTATATTTTATGTACTTGATATAAAGCCTAGTGGAGAAATGACATTTTGAGAGATAGATCAAACTGTCAGATTTTAAACTCTATAGCAGTGTTCAGCTGGCCTGAACAATGTCACGGACCATTTGAACATCTGATAATAGAAATATTTTGGCCTTAGAAGTATGTGCTTATCTGTTATGTGTTCTAGGTTAGGTCACCCTCAGGGCACCTGTATGTTATAATATAGAGAAGGGTGATTGCCAAAGTGTACCAATAATCACTTTCTAGCGTTTGGAATAATCATGGATGATCTCGCACAGCCAAGCTAAACACAGGACTCTCTAGGCATCCTTCATGTCAGGATGTGGCAAGACAATTGGGAAGTAGATCCTTTATATCCTTTGAACAGCCCTTGTAGTTCAATTGGCTTTAAGCATTATCAGAGCATCCTTGACATGATGCTTGCGCCTAATGCTGCTTTAGTGAAAGCCCAGAGACAAGCAAAAGATAACTGGTCTCTTTTGCTACTCCTGGCATACTGAGGTAAGCAACAGCCTGTGCTGTGGTTTTG